CTAAATGTTTTCTAAAAGTTAATAAAGTCTTAAAACTAAAGTATTCTTCATATTATTCTTAAGTATTTATGCATAATATGGGGAGAAAGAAGCACATTCCACTAAGTAAGAGACAGTTATTTTCTTTTTTATTATAAAAGTAACTACCTGTGTAACAAGCTGAGATGGAATAAAAGTGAACAGAATTTTGAACAAATGAGTAGGTCACTAGTCCCTTAGCTCAAATCCTGTTTCTGTATAAAATATGTCCTTTTCTGGGACATACTTGCTTTCACACATATGTGTTTTTCATAAAATCCCTATCATGGGACTAGAGTAATCAATGTCTCCAGTCACAGAGTAGTGGAAGTTGAGTATTTCATCAAACCTAGCAGTCTATGCTCCCTTTGAGCAGACAAAGACAAGACTTCCCAACCCTGGTAGAAAGGATGAACATCTCTCAAAGGGGTCTGCCTTCCTCTGCAAAGATCACTAGGGGTGGATGGATCCCACCTGAAAACTTTAGTGTTTATTTAATCTGTGAAGCCCAAGAGGATAAGAAGGAGACATAATGGCAGCTTCTCACTAAAGGATCACAAATGTTCAGCATCCATACAGGCAAGCTTTCACTGAGGCTAAGGAACAAAAACATAATGTGCAAGTGGAAACCTCTATTCCAAAAGCACAGACACCTCCTCACATTTAAATGTAAAGATGTCTTTGCTCTTCAGCAATCTTTCTGAAAATGTTACACAGTGGCTGTATTTGAGAAGCACTGAAAAAAAGGCTAAAATGAGCTGCTTTCCAGTATTTGATGATCTTGTTAAATGGTATGCAACACATCAGTGAGATTAGAGGTGAGGAAGTTTGTTCATGCTTCTTTCTAGAAGCACAGAAATATTAAACAGTGTAAATACTTGTGTAATTTTATGCCATAAGGTATAAATAAGGTAAATACAATGTGGTCTTCTGTAATTGTGTGACCAATATAACTGATATTCCATGCAGCCAACTTTTTTTCTAGAAGATCCTTACCACACACTGTCAGCAAGCTGATTTAAACCCGTTGCCCTTAGAAGAATTCTTGCTTGGCACATGTGCTGAGAAACATTCAGGTGGCTCCTCAACTTACTTGTTCTGGTTAGAGTGACCTTTTAGTGGTTACTAGAAAATAGCCTGTTTTGGGAGTTGCATTTTGATGAGTTATCATGGAGTTGTCTTATTTTGAAGCTACAAGTGTGCATGGTGAGCTATGATTCATCAGTGGGATGGAAGATCTATGTCCATATTTATAAAATCAAAGCTTAGGAGATTCTTAAAAGTGAGTCCTAAAATGCATGCATTCTTTGTGTACTCCACGTTAGGTGTGTGACAAAAGTGAGAACCCACACCACCCTTGGTTCTGTCTGAGAGTTGACTGCCACTGCTGTTGTGCTCCCCTTGAAATGGAAATGAGAGTGTGAATGTTGAACTTGGTTAGACTTTCACAGTCCATGTCAGTGGAGACACCATTTCCTTGTGAACATACTTCTAAATATCTTTACTTCTTTAACACTCCTAAAACAAAGTAAATAATTAAAATTAAAAATTTTTATCTCAAAGTCAAGGTGTGAGCTGCCAAAGACATAGCCAAAGTTCATATAAAAGGCGTTTTAAATCAGTATTTCCTTGTAATTTAAAAATAAGATCAAAAAAGTCTTGTTGATAATTGATCATTGTTTATTTTTTAATCTCCAAATGTGCTCAGTTGCCTTTAAATTCAGTGGGTAAAGGTACATCATACGTACATACATACATATATAAAAAATCTTTTCAACTTGTAGTCATAACATGCATTAAAAGCTTGTCTTTCTACAGGGTTTCTATGGGCCTGATTTTCATTCTAACAGTTTTTAGGGAATAGTCAGAGGCTTTAAATGGCAGCCAGACTACGCCATTTTCGATCTCGTAGGGGACATTGTACCTGGGGTCGTAATGGCCCCCCAGGTAGTAAATGCCATTGAGGTTGGCAGCCTGGCAGCTGTTGTACCACCATCCCCCCCCATACATCTCGGCACAGTTCTCCTCCCAGTGGTCCTGGTCCTGGTCAAAGGTGCTGAATTTCATCTGGGCATGGGATGTGTACTCGGTGCCCTCTTCCAGCCAGCCTGTGATCAGGGCATCCCCAGCAGTGCCCTCGTAGGAAGACACGGTGAGGGTGTACCCTTCAGCTTCAGACCCTACCTGTACGAGATACTCTGCAAACACAGCATTTCCATCCCAGTCCTCTAACTCTACCCGAAGGAGAGTATCATTCTGTGTCAGCAAGTGTAGGTTTTCATTGCCCAGCCAAAAC